CTGTGGAAATCAGTATGGAGATACCTCAAAGAACTAGGACTGGAAGTCCCATTTGATCCAGCCATTCCCCTGCTGGGTAGCTTCCTAAAAGAATTAAAAGAATAATACCACAGTGATATATGTGCACCCATGTGTATAGCGGCACAGTTTGCAATAGCTAAAGTTTGGAAACAGTCTAAATGCCCATCAACCGGAAACTGGACAAAGAAGACGTTGTTTTTTTAATAAAATGGAGTACTACTCAGCCATAAAGAACAAGAAACTAGGGACATTTATAGCTAAATGGATGCATATGGAGGCCATACTCTTAAGTGAAAAATAAATAAGACACACATGTGTAAATACCAAACAGTTTCTCTAGTGTGAGAAACTGAAAGTGTAAATAAGGATTAAAATGATTAAAACAAATAATTGACAATTTCAAATAGGAAGAAAAGGTCCAAAGGGTTAAGAGAAGTGGGAGGGGAAGGGGAAAGGAAAGAAGGGAAGGGAAAAATTATAAGAAAAGGAAAAAATGGAAACAAAGTCTTTGTAAATAGGGAAGGGTGGAGGGAATGAAGGGAGGACAGGGAATGGGGAAAAAATAAGAACTAAGATACATCATGTACAGGTACAAGCACCCAATGATGAATGTAAATGTATTGTATACCTAAAATGTACCAATAAAAGAATTTAAGGAAAAAAAAATAAAGCCCTGGTTTGGATCCTCAACATCAAACAAAGAAAAAACAATAAAACAAAACAAAAATGGTAAAATGAAGTAACTAGATATCACAGGGATCCTTTTCATTATTTCATAGTCCCTCATGAGAATTTTGGTTTTCTCAAAAAAAAAAAGAAAAAAAAAAAAAGCACAAGATGGGAATTGCTGTATTGGGGCCAGGGGTTTAGCTCAGCGGTTCCGCCACCTGCCGGTTCTGCCACCTGCCTCGCAAGCGCAAGGTCCCGAGTTTGATCCCCAGTACCAAAAAAAAAAACAACACAAGATGAGAATTTGGTTTTCTGTATTTGTTACTCATACCACAAGTCTATTCACAAGATTGAAAGACAAGTGTCTGGAGGCTGAGTGTGTGCAAGCATACACAGACCCTGGGTTCAAATCCCATCACCGAAACAAAAAAATAAATTAGAATAGATTCAAAGCTAAGCATTAAAGTAACTTAAACTTGGATTCTAGACCTGGATCTGCAACTAAATAGCTGTGATTGAAAAACTTGTTATATGATTTACTAGTCTGAAAATCTCTTAGCTACCTCATAAATATTACAAACACCCTGCAATAGTTTTTGACAATAACTTAAAAGTGTTTTATGTTTTCTAAATTGAAAGAACTATACAAAATAAATTAACATTATATGAATTTTAAAACTTTGGAAAACTTTTAATTAAAAAAATTTTTTAAATTTAAAAATTAAAGAAATTTAAAACTTTAAACATTTTAATAATTTGGAAAACTTTAAAACAAGATTTGATTTTGGTTTGGAACAAATTATTTTTCAATTTATACTTTAAAAAATTACAAGGAATAATGCACAAAGAAAAGTCAGCTTTTAACTAAAAGCAATGAGAAATCCTGGATTGGTACCAGGAACAGAAAAAGGACATTAGTAGAAAAAAACTACTGAGATCCAAAGACTTCTCTAGTTTAGTTAGCAGTATTGTACCAATGTCAGTTTTCTTTGATTTTGTTTTGTTTTAACAAATTTATCATGGCTTTAGTAAAACGTTAACATTAGGGGAAACAGTGAAATGCAAATATGAATCTTCTCTTGTATTACCTTTGTACCTTTTGTGTAAATCTAAAAATAATTCCAAAATAAAAAGTTTATTAAAAGAAAAAAGCCAGCAGGAGAAATCAGTTAAAGTTAAGAAAAGAGGATCTTTGCTGGGCATGGTGGCACACAGCTGTCAACAGCAGCTCTTGGGAGGCAAAGAGAGGTGGGTCACAAGTTTGAGCCCAGTCTTTGCAACTTAGCAAGACTTTGTCTTAAAAATTAAAAAAGCAGGCCAGGATTTAGCTCAGTGCAAAGGTCCTGGGTCCAATTTACCAACCAACCAACAAACCCAAAAAGGCAAAAACAAAAGCAAAGAAAAATATTGTATTTAAATGATCTCTAGAGCTGAATTACACAAAATATATTTCCAGAAGTACTTATAACTCTATAATCCATTCAATTAACATTTTTTAATGCCTACGCTATGCCCGCTACTGGAGTTAGAGTTGGAATTCATAGTCCCTGATCAAAAGGAGGTGAAACTCCAATAGGCAGAAAGAAAAAGGGCAATGTTAGGAATGATACAGAACATATAGTAAAGCTAAGGCAGAATGCTGGAGGTGGGGGCAGTATGGATGAAATGGTTTCTTAGAGGGGATAACGTTTAAGCAGAGTCCTAAGAGAATTAAGAATTAGGCAGGTGGAAGAAGAGGGCTAAGAGTAGTTTTGAGACCATTCTAGACAAGTTCAGGAACTTACAGTACAGAGTAACCACAAAATCTGGAGATGTTAGAAGAGGTTTGAATCATGAAATTTTATAAGGGTTTTATAATTTTTAAGTATAAATTGAAAAAATAATTTGTTCCAAATCAAATTTGTTTTATCTAAAAAAATTTGCTGACTAGCTTTAAAATTTATACATCAATTAATTTTGTATAGCTAGTTCAGTTCAGAAAACATACGAAGTCCTTATATTAGAAGTTACAGTGGACCCTTGAGTTACGACCAGGCTGACATACAAACCACCAGGTTACGACCAGAATTTTAGTTTTTAACTTACAACCAGAGACTTCAGTTATGACCTGAATGCCAGTTGACTGTGCTTCCAGATGGAATCAGATACAGATTTAACCTTTAAAGAGTTCTGGAAGGAACATTTGCAACATCTTTTCCTGTGTGGGATTAATTGAGAAATCCTGAACCAATGTCTAAGAACACTGAGATCTGCCTAGGAGAAAGTATGGCCTAACATTATACAACAGAGAGACTTTGAAGGCAACTGACCAACTTCAGTTACAACCAGCCCTCATGAGGAAATTGAGTTCATAAGTCAAGGGTCCACTGTGTTACCAAAAAGAAAACTGTTGTAGGATTTTTGTTTGTAATTGTGCAATAAATGGTGAGTTTGGGTTTCATCTCTAGGTTATGAGGAGAGGTTATGAGCAAGAGATTTTGATGTAGGCACTGACATGACCAGATGTGTACTGTAGAAGTGTAACAGCACAGGGGATGTGTGAGGAAAAATAATACTGAAGACAGGGAGATTCGTTGGCATATAGTTTGAATAAATGGCCCCCAACAGTCTGCATGTTAAAAGCTTGTTCCCCAGCCCCAGTGCTGTTGGAAGGAGATGAGACCCTTAAGAGATGGAGCCTAGTGGAAGTTTCCAGATTCCATGAAGGACCCCTGGGCAAAACTTGTGAAGGGGCCAGCAGAGCCCCAGCACTATGTGCTGCACTGGCACAGGCCCAAAGCACCAGGACCAATCAATTATTGCCTGAAAGCTCTGAAACTGTAAGCCAAAATCAACCTTTTCTTTTTGAGACAGGGTCTTACTATGTAGTTCGGGCTGGCCTTGAACTAGTAGCGATCTCCCAAGTGCTGGGATTACAGGCATGTGCCACCATGCCCGGCTCACCTTTTTTTTTTTTTCACAAGCTGATTATCTCAGTATTTGTTATAGTGATGGAAAGCTGACTAACACAGATTGCAGAAATCCCAGCAAAGAAGAATGGGGACCCAAAGTCATAGAGTGTTAAATTTATCTCTATAAGAATTAAAAATATATAGCTGTGACTGTTACATGAGACAAAAAGCAAAGTGACAAACTAGGGAAAAATATGTGCAACCATTAGTACAGATTTAGCCAATATCTCTCCCCTCTCTCCTGCTCTGCTGGAGATCAAATCTAGGACCTCATGCATGCTTGGGAAGGGTTCTACCACTGGGCCACAGCCCCAGCCCTTAAGCTTTAACCTCCCCGATCCCACTGGCACCTGCCAGGTTGAGAATCAAATCCAGGTCTCCTGAATGCTAGGCAAACATTCTACCAGTAAGCTACATCCCCAATTTTCTTATTAGATGAAGCACAACAACAAACTACTAAGAAAAACACAATCTGAAGAAAAATGTGTAGAGAGGTCAAATGAGGTACTCATGAAAAAGAATTTAAAAACAAAAAAGTTCAACATTTTCTATACCATATTAACTTTGAGATAATTTGTGTTTCTACAAAGTGACTTGAAATATTAGAAAATTTAAATATTCATAAATGTACACTATCAGTTTCTATAAATACTCGTGAATTTCTCAAAAATATTTTCCTTCTTTTGTGGTCTTATCAGACAGAATTTTTGCTCAAAAGCTGATTTTTGCATTCCTAGAGTACTTAGCATACAGTGGGAATTATAAATTAGTTATGAGAAAACTTGCACTGAGAACAGAATTAAACCTGGTATTAGAAATAGATAAGTAGGGCTGGGGATTTAGCTCAGTGGTTTTGCCACCTGCTGTGCAAGTGCAAGGACCTGAGTTCAATCCCCGGTACCAAAAACAAAACAAAACAACAACAACAAAAAAGAAATAGGTAAGTGTTAAACTAAATCTCAAAATGGCTCATTTACCCCATCACCTATCATACTTTTTCTTACAGAAATTCTAACAGAAAAAAGGAGAAAAAAGATCAGAAAGAAAAAGCAGGATGAGAAAAAATTATTGTAATTTCTAATTAGTACTGTTAGTAACAAAAGTAGAGTATCTCACATATCATGTGATCATCTGAGTTACAGCAATGCAAATATAAACCCAACTAATAAGCTTATTCCCTAACAAAATATTCCTAAATGAGCTTTTAGGGCTAATATGCTCAAAAGAATATAAGCATAAAGGACCCACAAAACTTAGGCTACTTTCATTCCCACAAAGAAGAAAATGCCCTTGGGAACTAAGGTGCTTCTGCAAGCCCATAGTAATCCCCACTTCAAAGAATCTGGAAACCAAACTCACATAACTGGCTGTTGTGCAGTCTCTTCCACATATGGAGTAAAACTGGGAAGCACAGGGGGTACAGCTGTCTCAGAAGTTGTGCTGCCATGAGGCTGGAGATAAAGAAGAAAAAGAAAATTGCCAGTTTTATATTTTGGCACAATAAGTGCAAACCAGGCCTAAATATTCAAGAAAAATTAAGATATGCTAAAAATACTCCTCTGCTCTGAACCTGAAGTTTTTGTTATTTTGGCAAACACATTCCACCTCTGAGTCCTCACCCTGGGATCTAAGGCTCTCTTGTTCCAAGGACCTGCTTGCAGCTCGTTCTCCTTGGCTCTGGGAACTGGGGGAGCCATCCATGGCTGGACTGTAGGCTTACACTGCTCTGCTCTGGAAGCCAGATCAGCATTTTCATCAAAGACAGTAATTCTGTAATTGCTTTGCATCTGCTGAGGAACTGGATTTTGAAGTCCTCTATTTTGGCTTGGAGCTAGGAGAAAAACATTAAAATTTTATGTAAAATAATTAGTTATCATCGTAGATGCCAGATAAGGTACACATATTCTTCCTCAAATCAAGGAGAATACATCTTCTACAATAAAATCGAAAGATTTTTTAAAACATAATATAAAAAAACCCATAATGAACCAAATTAGTAACATTTTAACCTAGTTTAACTTTGTTACTTATTCTTTCCTTCCTTCTTGCTCTTTCCCACTGCCTCTAATCTTTTATTCATGGATATCCAAGAAAGAAATTCTATACCTCTTTAGTTTTATCAGGAATTGACCTTAGACTACTTTTTAGGTTTAAATTTTCTCTCAATGGGAATCAGCTGAGAACACAAAATTAACCCATTTAATAGAGGTGCTCTCTGTTGTGAGGCTGGTTAGTACTTTAAGCTTCAACACAGTCTGGAGAAAATCTCTTTTGAGATTACATTCCATATATATTATATATAGAGAGAGAATTAGGAGAGATATATATCTCCTAATTCAACAATTTCCAGCCAATATTTTGATTATTGATCAACTGATGCCAGGAAAGGTATAAAAGATAAAATTACCAGTCTAGTCTAGATGTGTTATAAATTTAGTCAATAAAGTTTATTGTTTTTTATACTTTCTGGTCAACTTTGCTGTGAACCTGAAACTGTTTGAAAAAACATTCATTCTTAATTTAAAAACATGTAAGTCATTGTTGATCACTGTACACTGAGTGTACAGTGTCTAATTTCTAGCCCTAAAAGGTTAAAGACAGGATTCTTAACCATGTTAACACCATTCTGAGGCTTGGGCACAGGAAGCTTTAAATAATACCTGATATATTATTATGTATCTTCTTTAAACAACTTTTATTCAGAAAATAATGCTTCCTGAATATCAGGTCTTTCTGAAAGACACAAAATTGCTGATACTCTTTGGTTTTATTGCACAGTATGATATTAGCTTTCCTTTGACTTCCTTCTTCTTGTTACCCACTACTCAGAAAACTTGGACAGTGTCCACATGTATACTTATGCATTATCGTCTACATAATTTGCCTACCACAAGAGACTTAACTGTTTTCCAAATAACATGTAACAAACTTACCCTTGAGTGCACCTCCTACACGGCTGATTGGAGCTCTTGCTGTCTTTTTCCCTTTACTCTTTAGTTCCGCGAGTGTGCTTCTTTGTGACACAGAAGGTACAAAAACTTCCTCCTCTTCTTCTTTCTCAAGTGCCAAGAGAGATTGTCGAGACACTCGGGCTTGGAATTGTCTAAAGTAAAAGAACAATTAACTTTTGGTTGAGATAACTACCACTCAGCAGACTAAAAATTTCTAATTTATTAAACAAAGAAAAAATAGACTGAGGAAAGAAACACTGATATTGTCAAAAAAAGTATATATTCAGAATAAAGAGAACTACCTTGAGATCAGAAAAGGTTTTGACTAAAAACAATTTAGATTTCCCTTTAAATGTCCAAGAAAAATACCTATACTCTGAAAATCATCATTAAGTAGATTTGAGGATCAGATTAGGATGACTAAAATTATAAAATATATAGAAATCAGTTTTCCATTAACATTTTTTTCTTTTTTGGTACCAGGGATCGAACTCGGGTCCTTCTGCTTGCGCAGCAGGCGGCGAAACCACTGAGCTAAATCCCCGGCCCAGTTTTCCATTAACTTTTTAAAATTAAAACTTAAAATTACACTCTAGTTGAAAAAATAAATGAGCATCCACCTAGACCCAATTGTTAACATTCTGTCATGTCTATATTTTCTCACTCTCTTACTACAGACATACACATACACACATTTTTTTTTTCTCTGAGCCATATGAAATGAAGTTGAATACAACATAACATTTTACTTTAGTAGAGCTGGCAGAAGCTTGAAAACGAAACTTCTCGTGCTACTGCCAGTTTTGAGTACTGACAGAAAGGTTAAAAAAAAATTGTAAGTGCTTGCTAGAATGGAGGAAGCTAAGTCCACTGTACCCCCTCTAACACACTGATTAGAATTTAAAATTTTAGATACATACAAAAAGAGTGACTCACAGAGGACTCAGAAGTGAACAAAACCAAGTGGACTGTGGAGAGGAGTCAAAACTTAAACCTCCAAAAGGTTGTTTCCTGTTTCTTTTTCTTCTGTTTTCTCTCCTGGTATTGAACTGTTACAACAGTGATGTGGAAAATCTAAAACTCCTAAGAGAAAATCCATCTTTTTGGCCATAGGAATGGGAAAGGGGGATTTTGAGAGCCAAAAAGTATTGAAGGAACATTGGTGAGAAAGTAAGTTGAGGAAGAGGATCTCCTAACTGTGTACATGAATGGGCACAAGCCCTGGGGTCACTCCTGACCTATGCTCATACAGAAACGCTTTGAAAACAGAACTGTAAACCACTGCCCAAGCCTCACTGGAGCCCTGTACCAAACATGCACGGGACAGACCAAAGCAGCGTAACAAAGGTCTTGAAAACTGAACTGACCTTGGTGCCACCATGGACATTAGGTGGTATTTTAATAAACTTGTGGTATCTTAAGTTTGGTTGCCTACCAAGACAAAAACATCAACATTCTCCAGAGAACACCAACCAATAGGACTCAGTCTCAAAACATAGTAGAATAATTGTCCAGAACAAAATTCTTTAACACGCAGAGAACCAAGAAAAAGCAACCAATTCTCAAGGGAAAAAGTAACAAAAGCCAATATCAAGATGAATCAGAGCTGGACGTGGTGGCACATGCCTATAATCCCAGCACTCAGGAGGCTGAGGCAGGAGGATTGCCACAAGTTCAAGGCCAGCTTGGGCTACAGATTGAGTTCAGGACCAGCCTGAACTACATAGCAAGAACCTGTCTCAAAAAACAAAAACAAATTTCTCATGCTGAAAGGAAATGATAATAGAGGGGAACTTAGGCCTTTAGGAATAATGAAAGAGCAAAAGAAATGATAAATCCAAAAACTATTATTCTCTAAATTCTTTAAAATATGTATATGTGGTATGATACAAAATACAGTGAATGTTTAAAGTATATTAGGAAATTTTATTAAATAAAAGGCATATTGCCATTAACCCTCCCTCAAGATCTCCCCCTTGCTTTGAACACACTCATCCCATTATCCTCGCCACCCTCTGAAGCAGTTCTAGAAGTCTTCTTCCATGCCTTTAGTTGTGCTACTGTGGCTGCTTTAATATCCTGAATCAATTCAAAAATGTTTACCTTGCATAGTCATTTTGATTTTGAAGAGCCAGAAATCACATGGTGCCAGATCCAGTGAAGACACACCACAATATTTTTATGAATCTGCCTTTCCATTGGATAGCACTTGGCAGCAGCACTCACCGCATTTTTGACCATACCTTGTAAAGACAATCATGAAAAAGGACTTCCAGAACTGCTTCAGAAGGTGGCAAGAACTAGTCAATAAGTGTGCTGGGGGGCAGTATTTTGAGGGAGATTAATGACAATGTGTTATTTACTGTAATATTTTAAAATTTAAACAGTCATCATGTATGGTTAATTCAATCACACAGCATAGCTACTGAAAGCAAACACTGTAATACTGATGGGATTTTCAACATACATAGAAAAGACAGAGACACTTGTATAGCTATAAAGCTTCTAAATTTTACTTGAAGTGGTAAGATATTAACTCTAAGTAGACTGTGAATGTGTAGGATGTGTATTATGTACCCTAGAGCAGCCACTTACAAAGAAACACCAAGCTGAGCATGATGCTGAACACCTGTAATTCCAGCACTGACAGGTGAGGCAGAAAATCAAGAGTTTGAGCCCCACCTGAGCAATTTAGTGACTTGTGAGACCCTGTCTCCAAATACATAAAAGGTTTTTTAAAAAGGGTTGGAGATGTAGCTCAGTGTGAAGGGTCTGGGTTCAATCCCCAGTATGGCACCAAAAAAGAAAAAAGAAACAGACAAAAACCCAATAAAGTAAACAAAAATTAAATACTAAAAATATTCAAATGATCCAAAAGAATGTGAAAGGAAATATGAACCACAGAGAAAAAAAAGAATGAATAATAAAATCGTAGGCCTACATCCCAAAATATTAATTATTCTACTAAATGGTGTACAAACATTAAGAAACACAAACAAGACCATAAATAAGAAACCCATTTAAAATATAAAGACCTAGACAAAAAAGTAAAAGGAAAACAAGCCCAAAATGTATAATACAAATAGTCACAGCAGCATTATTTTACAATAGCCAAAAAGTGGAAATAATCTAAATGCCCATTAACTAAGAAGTGGATATTCAAAATGTGCTATAGCCACACAATGGAGTTTCACTCAGCGATCAAAAGGAATGAAAGAAGCACGGAAATGTGTCACAACTCTGTTCATCTATGAACCTTGAAAATAGTATGCTAAGTGAAAAAAGCCAGTCACAAAAGTCCATGTACTGTAGATTCCAATTTATATGCAAAGTCCAGAATAGGCAAGTCTATTGACAGAGGCAGATTAGGGTTACCTGGAACTGGGGAGAGTGTGGATGGGCAGTGACTACTAATTAGTATGGGGTTCATTTTGGGAAGTTAAAAATGTTCTAGGGATGGAGGGATGGGAGAAGGAAAGGAAGGGAAGTAAAAAGAATCAGGATATGGGGCTAGGGATTTAGCTCAGTGGTTCCATCACCTACCTTGCAAGTGCAAGGTTCTGAGTTCAATCCCAGGTACCAAAAAAAAAAAAGAATTAGGATGTGTACATGTACCACGTCCCTATCAGAAATGTAATCATTATGTATTGAAAATATGTACCGATAAACAAAAATGTTCTAGGCAGGGGGGCTGTAGTTCAGTGGTAGAGAAAGAGAATAGACAAAAATCACAATTAAAGAGTCTGTAGAACTCCTCTCAGTAATTATCAAAAAAGTGGAAAATGGGCAAAGATACAGATCAGAGCAGACCACCAGCTGGGAGAGGTGGTCCACCTGTAATCCCAGCATTCTGGGGAGGCCTTAATGAGTTAGTGAGACCTATTTCAAAACGAAAAACAAAAAAACCCCCAAAACTGAAGATACAACTCAGTGCAAAGCCCCTGGTTACATAAACACATAATAAACTAGGAACATTTATCACTATCATATTCTAGGTGACAAAACAAGCCATAATGAATGTAAAAGAACTGAAATAATATAAATTACGATGTTCTCTGATCACATGAAATTAAACTAAAAATCAACAAGGAGATAACTGAAAAATCAAAAAAATTTCCAAGCCAGGTGGAGTGGTGCTCACTTGTAATTCTAGCACTCTGGTAGGCTAAAGCAGCAGGGTCATAAATTGGAGCCCAGCTTAGGCAACTTAGTGAGTTAGAGAGACCTGGTCTTAAGGAAAGGCTAGAGATGTAGGTCAATGTGAAGGCCCTGAGTTCCATCGAATAAGTAAATATGTAATTAAATAATATAAAAGCACTTCCTAATTAAGTACTACACTTATATAAATTATTTATGGGTCAAAAAGCTAGGTGTGGTGGTGTATACCTGTGACCCACAGCACTCTGGAAGTTGTGGCAGGAAGATAGCTAAGAGTTCAAGGTCACCCTGGAATACATAGCGAGACCCTGTCTCAAACAAACAAACAAAACTATCCTGGGTCAAAAGGAAGACACAATTTGAATTAGAAAATATTTTAAACTGAATGAAAATCAAAGTACAGCATTATCAAAATTTGTGAGATGCAACTAAAGCAATGCTTTGAAGGAAAGTTAAGACTAGTAAGTGCTTATATAAGAAAAGGAGGACTGGCAGTTGGGTGTGGTGGCACCTGCCTGTGATCCCAGCACTCGGGAAGGCTGAGATGTAGCTCTGGGATTAATCCTCAGTACCACAAAAAGAAAAAGAAAAAAAAGAGGAAGGTTGGGGATCTAATTCAATGGTAGAATGCTTGCCTAACATGTGTAATACCCTGGGTTTGATCTCCAGGACTGCAAAGAAAAAAAAAGAAGAAGAAAAAGAAAAGAAGAGGCAAAAAAGAGGGCTAGGGATTCAGCTTAGTGGAAGAGTTCTTGTTCACTCATGAGCCCTGCATTCTATCCCTCAGAAAAAGAAAAGAAGGGTCTAGAATCAGTGATCTAACCTTTTAGCTCAAACCAGAGAATGTAAAGGCTAATAAGCAAAATCCATACTAGAAAAAAGTGATAAATTCAACCTCTTCAAAATTAAAAACTTTTATTCTATAAAATATAGTTAAAAGAATATTAAACCAGACTTAAGGTGGGAGAAAATATTTATAAATTACATAACTGACAAAAGGCTTTTATTTAAAACATATAAAGAACTCTTACAACTCAAAAGCAGTGTGATAAATCAGAGAGGCCAGACTCAGAAGCCTACATATTATGATTCCCCTTATACAACAGTCTGGAAAAAGCAAAACTACAGGACTGGACAATAGATCAGTGTTTGCCCGGGTGAATGTAGGTATTAATTATAAAAGGACAGCATGAGGGGATTCTTTAGGGGCTATGGAATATATCTTGATCATGGTGACAGTTACATGTCTATTCATTTGTGAAAACTCATAGAACAGTATACCCAGATTGGGTTTTACTATACAATAAACTGAAAATATGTTTAAAAAATGAGGGTCTAGGATTTAGTTTAGTGGCACTGCGCCTGCCTCACAAGTGGGGGGCGGGGGGTAACTAAGTAAATTTCACTAGCAAATACATCAGAGAGCATTTTATTCATATGCAAAAAGACCATTTAGTTCTTAGTTTAACTAAGAGTTAAGATAAACTCCAGAGAAGCAATTTACCTGTGCTGAGACTGCAGTCTTTCTAGTGGCTCAGCCTTCCGTTGAATCCCTTCCTGAAATATCATATCTGCTTTCTTAAAGTTTTCTCTAGCTTCATATTCTTCAGCCCATGAGATATAGAACTGAGCAAGTGAAACGCCAATCCCTTGGTTGTGTAAATAACTATACATATCCAAAGGCTCATTGCATAAATGCCCCTGTAACAAATTGAAAGTGTTTAACAGTTAATCAATTTTTTTCTATTTATCAAATGGCTATTAATGGGCCAAACAATTCCTGAAGACTATATGCAATTCCTGCCTGGAAGAAAATATATCTATTACAATATATATGATAAGGACCATCTTGGAAGACAAATGTGAGAGATTAATTTGCTAGAAAAAGAGATGGGGATGAAAGGCTTTACAAGGGGTAATATTTGGGCTTGACTTTGAAGGAAAAATGGACTCTCATCAAGTGTTGAATGGGAAGGGAGGGGCACTCCAGCCAGGGAAAATACTGGCATAAGCAGGGAGGGAGACAGAGACAGTGAGACAGACAGACTGACAAAACACACGGATGCGCGCACACCTGTGCGCGTGCACACACCCACACCCACACCCACCCCCACACACAGGCAGACAAGACTAAAGTATGTAGGAGTCCAAGCAAAATAGGAGTTTGGAGAAAAAGGTGATTGGTCTTGAATGTCAAACTAATCAATTCTGAATTCACCTAGTAGTAAATCTACATGTGCTGGAATGGAAAGCTATTATAAACAAAGGAATGATTTGGTCAAATCTGCATTTAAGAAGGGATTCTATAAAACCAGATACAATGTCAATAATTCTAGTAGCAAAAGATGAACAAATAAAAATCACTAAAAATCCTACACTATAAACATTCTGATGTATTTTTTTTCATTTTGACACATCATAACAGCTTTGATTGTAATAAAGTGTGATTTTATTCTGTTTAACATTGCATCATTCTTCTTTCTCACAATTCAAATTTTTATTTGGCAATAAGTTCAATAGCACTTAACGTATAAGATCAGTATTTAGAATAAATAGCAAATGTACATTCAAAATAAATAGTAAACCTACCAAATTTGCATTTACTGTGCCTGGTCATATGGATACAATTTTGTCATTCAACTAAACAATCAGAAAACAGTCTTCTAAGTCACAGTTCAAGCCTACACTAGCAGAAATGTACAGAAGCATTGTTGTAAGTCAGGCTCCCTGAAACAAGAGGTCATCATGCAAGACTGTCACACACACAGGACCCTTTACTAAGGGGAAGCACTGCTGGACCAACACCTGGGAAGGGGAGAGAAACATCAGGACACAGGAGGTGCTGCATATATGGGCTTCACACACACAGTGGGGAGCAGCTGTTGAGCTAGGGAAGCTCTTTGGGGTTTTCTGGAGTTGGAGTAGGAGGCCAGACCTTTGTATCCCCACAGGGAGCAATCAAGGTTAACAGGCTCCAGGAAGGGGGCAGGACCTGGGATGGAGCAGAGCCCTTCAGCAAATGAAACTTCCCAGAGGGCTGACTGCTGCCAAAAGTCAGCCAGCAGTACTCACTGCAGGAGGAGGGGTAATTCCTGTGGTCCTAAAGGGTTAGCAGCTGGGCCCAGCACCCAGTACCAGCATAACTATGAGTGCAAGGGGAGGTATATTCATCTGGTACCAAGCCTGCAGCTCAAGGACATACAGAAATCTGGACATGCATCTTTCATTTTCTGTGCTCTTCTATTATTATTACTTTACTCGTATTATTTTTTAATGGATCCATAGTGTTCTACCCAGCAGACTCTCCATAATTTAATTGTTTCCCTATTTCAGGATGTTTAAACAACTTCTAACTTTGCCCAACTGTAAATAATTTTAAAATATTTATCTACATGCATATAATCTTTCACATTTTACATCACTCCTTTTAGATAAATTCCTAGAAGTAGATGTTAAAAGTAACAAGTTACTAACAAGGAACAAGTTCAAGAGAGTAGTACAAATTTAAAATGCAAAAATGTAGTAAGCCCCCAAAATATTAGTTTTGTTGGGCATGGTGGCACACACCTATAATCCAAGCTACTTGGGAACCTGAGCCAGGAGGATCCCAAGTTTGAGGTCAGATTGGGTATCTTAGTAAGACCCTGTCTCAAAACAAAAATAAAAAGGGCTGGTGGGCCGGGGATTTAGCTCAGTGGTTTCGCCGCCTGCTGTGCAAGCGCAAGGACACGAGTTCGATCCCTGGTACCAAAAAATAAATAAATAAAAAATAAAAAATAAAAAGGGCTGGACACATAACTCAAGGGTGGAATGCTTGCTTAGCACACATGAAGCCCTTCATTGAATCTCCAGCACTGAGGTAGGAGATAGGGCGTAGATTAGACTGACTGGAAAGAGAGGTATGGCAGGATCTTAGAGAATTTGCACAGCACTGCCTCTCAGGACCTGAATGTAAAAGTTCTGGTGGGCTCCCGGAAGGTGTGGATGATATAAAGGGTCACAGATGGCATGAAGAGTTCACTACCATGGCTTTTTCTCATGGTAGTCTCCCCTGTGTCCTCCAGGGTGTACTTTTATTTTTCCTTTCTTTTGCTCCCAAGTTTGCTCTCTAGAGCCAGTTTCTCCCTTACCCTTCACTTTCCATATAAACTTTGCCACTGTTTTTGGCTTGTTTTGTTCCATTCTTTGTATAAGTCAGACAACCTGGAAACCAAGAGGCAGGCTCCCCCAAAACCCAGTAATTTTATTTGGCAAGTTACTGTCACCAGTTCCTTTCCATCAGTGAAGATAGTTCTAATTTCATAGAAAGCAATGGCACCTCAGCATTCGAGTTAGGAGTTCTTTTACTACTACAGACGCTACCACTGGCTTGCTCTTTACTGAAGAAAGAGAAGTTTTTGCTCCCACAATCACCTGTCCCTGTTTTGCCAACCCCAGGCAATGTCTTCCTTGCACTGAAGGCCCACAGGACTCAGTTACTTTCCCTTTTCTCACACTTGGAATTAATTCACCTTCTCTAATAAACTAAGCTCCACAAAGGAGAAAACTTTGTTATTTACTGCATTCCAGTCCCTATCCAGTGTCCAGTACAACAAATTTCGACTAAATCAAAATTTCCATTTACAACTTTGACAAAAGCAATTAGTATTTCATAGCTTAATTTTGGAGTAATTCAGTAAGTGGGGTTTTCTTCTTATCCAAATTTGTATTTTGTCATATGTAGTGGCATTTTAGAGAACCCACAACCACATGCGTGTTAGGCCAGCACTCTATACCTGAGCTACACCCGCAGCCTAGACTACGCTTTTACTTATGTCATTGCTCTTCATTATGAGAACCAGGTAAATATAAGTGAGATTATCTTTACTTTTAATAGCTCTAATATAATCACAGAATCCCAGGATTAAAAGTCACTTCAGAGATTTATCTAGTCTAACCTTTTAATGAATCACATGTAAGATTATATAGGAGAGAAGAAGGGAAAAAAATCCATTGGCATGCCACCCAAGACCATAATTTCTGACCTAAAAAAATCTATTTAGCATTCTTTGGGTGCCATCCTTTGCTACAAATTCTTGTAACTAATATTCCTAAGGTAATTGCTCTAACCTGTTACTAGGATGTCAGATTATTTGTCAGTATCCTGCAGAAATCAAGATACACTATACCTGCAGGAGTCACCTAATTTCCTGTACTTGTACTTATTTGAGATTTAAATAAATTCTCTTCAAGAAATATATATTTTAGGAACAGGGATGCAGCTCAGTGGTGCCGCACCTGCCCAGTAGGCACAAAGTCCTGAGTTTGATCCCCAGAACCAAAAAAACAAAAAAAATAAAAAATATTATTAAAGAGATATATATTTTAGCCAGAAATTTTATCAGTTTCAAATGTTAATATTTTATTATATTATAATATTTGTAAACAACTGTAAGTATTGATTGCTTCCCTTTTTCTAATTTCCTTTAGGACAAAAATATAGGAGACTAGCTTAAAACTACACTGAGCTGGTCGAGCATTCACCCAACAAAAGCAGTGAATTAGTATCTAATAAACCTTTGCCTTTAGTTTATGAATTAAAAAAAATTTTTTTTGTCTTTTGAGACAAGGTTTTGCTATGTAGTTCAGGCCAGCCTTGAACTCACTATGTAGTTCAGGCTGGCCTCAAACTCACAGCAATCCTCCTGCCTCAGCCTCCTGAGTGCTGGGATTACAGGTGTTCATCATCACACCTGGCTTTATAAAAAATAAAAATATGCTATAAATGGAAGAACTACATGTCAAGTGAAAGGGTACAAAATGGTCAGGCAGACATATTTTGCTGTAGCAATATACTAGGTGAAAGTAGTCAAAGACCAATAAAAAACTAAAACATCACTATTTTATGATGATTCTCATAAAAGAGAAAAAAGGATACCAGAATCACTAAGAAATCATTTTTACCCAAACAACTGTACTGTTAGGGCTGCCTCCTGTATATCCTCCTTCAGTATAGATGCATGGCTCAGTTACGATCAGAATAAATAAGAGATCTACAAACTTTATGATCAGTCTCAAAGGAGTGCCAAACCTCATTACGCTATATTTAAATTCATCTTTAAGCATGACCAATTTTTTTTTTTTGGTACTGGGGATCAAACTCGGGACCTCGCACTTGCAAGGGAGGCGCCGGAACCACTGAGCTAAATCCGCAGCCCAGTATAACCAATTTTAAAAAGTACAAGTATGTAAGTTTATTATCTACTAAATGGGTCCAGTTTTCTCTTTTCTTTTTTTTTTTTGTATACTAAGACACCCCTAGAGAAAAATCTCTTGGTTTAATATTTTAAACTCAGATGGCGTTTAAGAAAGGCTTACCAATTTGAGCCAGAGGTTGAGAAATCGAGGATCACTGTAATAACGTTTTTCTCCCTGCAGTGCTTCTATAGCTCTTTCTAATAATGTTGACATGTTACTCTCCTTCCCACCTTGAGGATAGCTCTGCTCTGTCCAGTTAATATACCTGAACGAGAAAAAAAGAAAAAGAACATATTTTGAGTTGAATGTGTACTTTTGTTCTGGCTCCAAGACCAATTCTGGATTCTTTAACCAGAAATATTTAGTATGTAATAAAGTATGTTTCCTTAGAGATCTCAATGATATATCCTAAGCCTGTTTCTCAAACTTTTTCAAAGTAGCTCTAACACATGCTTCTGGGGAATACTGGGGAGAGGGATAAAAGAGTGTAGCTCAAAGTTTTATGCTACAAACTAAATTTCTTTGATCTTAACTATCTCAGGGGCCTGAGGGCATAGCTCAGTGGTAGAGCACATGATTAGCATGCATGAGGATCTGAGGTCCTGGTTTATATCCCCAGCACTGAAAAACAAATCCAAAAATGTCAAGAAGGCTATTCTGGATCTCTGTCTCAAGACACCACTTTCTACTCTGACATACCACTCCACACACTCAACTTGAGAAACAGCCATAAGGGCTCATCTGTTAAAGTTTCTGTTGGCCTTGTCAAATAAAATTACCCACCTATCCCAAACGTCCAGAAGGTCATTTCCAGCGTAAAATCGAATTTCAGATTCAAATGCCCTGAAATTTAAATGGAAAATGTAAGCATATGCAATACCGACAATAGCTAGTACCACTTTCATTGTTATTCATTTAGAAGTATTTAATATCAATCTATTTTTTTTTCTGGTACCAGAGACTGAACTCAGGACCTTGTGCTTGTGAGGCAGGCCACCAAGCTAAATCCCCAGCCCTAATATCAATCTAAACAACTGTACTAGCGTTTAAGGATTCGTTAAACAGAAAAACAATAGAAATCATTAAGATTCTGACTGATAACAGGAGGGACAAAATATGGAGAAATGAGAAATTTCCAGACAATATGTGGAAAAGCAGTATTACGCAGCAATCAAAAGCTCTGGAATATGACTCCAGATTCAAATCCAGCCCCATCAATCACTTGCTGAGGGACACTGGACAGCTACTTATATTCTTCAGTTTCCTCATCTGTAAAATGGGGATAACATTACTTATCTTATTAGGTTTGTTAGTCATAAATATATTTAGATATACTAAATATTCCATAAATGATAGCTTTTATTTTTTATGTAGAATAATGTTGAACTACATACACACACGCGCACACACACATATACAGAAATAATAAGAACTTTAAAGTTACAAAAAATTGCAGGCTGAGATACAGCTCAGTAGCAGAACACTTGCCAGTATGCATAGAGCCCTGGATTTGGTTCCTAGCACCAAACAAACAAACAAACAAACAAACAAAAAAGAAAAGAAAAATTCCATGGGTAACATTAGTCAAAAGAATAGTAGCATCTGTAATTTGAGGAGTACCTCAAAGAAAGTATAAAATATAACTGCAAAGAGCTGGGAAAGACAGAGCTAAGACTAAATTAAGGTTAACCAGTTAGAACAGAAGGGAAGTATTAATCATTTGGATAAATGATTAATAAAAACTATAAGGAGTTAGGATATAAAAAATAATAATAGCTCCTGATGCAAAGGAATTTATTTTCTAATAAGTGAAAGTATAAAAATGAAAAATTAACAGTACAAAGCAGGTAAGAATGATGAATAATAAAGTCTTTAAGAAGTTAAAAGAACCCAGGTGCATTGGAGTAAGCTGGTTATCCCAGCACTCAGGAAGCTGAGGAAGGACGATCTTGGTGAGTTCAAGGCCAGTCTGAACTATATAGTGAGACCCTGTCTCAAAAAACAAAAGTCAAAAGGAGGCATCAAAGACAGCTTCTGAAGGCAGAACTTGAGTTTTCCAGTATTGTGCTTGCCTAGCATTCTAGCATGCACATGGACCAAATTCAATCCCCAGCATGGATGAAAGCAGAAGGGGGTGATTTCTCAAGAGGGAGGGAAACCAATATTGAAAACAAGGGGGGAGATTTAGCTCAGTGGTGCCACCGCCTGCCTCGTAAATGCAAGGTCCTGAGTTCGATTCCCGGTACCAAAAAAAAAATGAAAACAGTTGTGAATGTGGCAGAGCTTAACCAAAGGAACCTAGGTAATAAATGGAATCATCTAGAGAGGTAAGAAAGACATACTTTAAATGTAAAGTTAAAAACTTTGAGTTGGGTATGTTTGCTGGGTAATCCCAGCACTCTGGGAGGAGGAGGCAGGCAGATTGCAAGTTGGAGCCTATCCTGGGCAACTTAGCAACTTAACAAAGACACTGTCTCAAAATAATAAAAAGGGACTGGAGATACAGCTCAGTTCAAAGGACCTGGGTTCAAACCTCAATACCACAAAAACAAAAGAAAACAAATTTTGGATTCTGTTATGGTTTAAATATGAAGTATCCCCAAAAGACATATGGATTGAAGGCTTAATCCCCAATGCAGGACTATTCAGAGGTGTGAGAGGTAAATGACCTTGAGAGACTAACCTCATCAGCAGATTACCTCACTGATGAGTTCACAGCTGAATGGGCTCTTGCGGGTGGAGCCCAACAGGAGGAGATAGTCACTGGAGGCTGCCTTTGAAGGATGAATCTTGTTCCTGGCCCCTTCCTCTCCAGCTCTTTCCAACTCTCTACTTCCTGGCTGCCATGAGGTGAGCAGCTTACCTCCAACATGCCCTTCTGCCATCATGTTTCTTTTTAAATAAAATTTAAACTGTAAAATTTTATATTTTTTAGTAAGCTGTTTCTTTCTAATGAATTGACCATTACATTTCCAAAGTTCTGAAATGGCCAACAGACCATAGAAAGACTTCACTTTAGGCTCCTGTTTGAAACCAGCAACTTCAGCAAACTGCTGGCCTTGATTCAGGGCCACCCACTGTGATGTTCTTGCCTTGGGAGTCAGCCGACCATGGACTGAAACCTCTGAAATTGTTGAGCCAAAATAAACCTTTCTTCATTTAAGCTGTGTATGTCACATGTTTTGTCCCAGTGATGAAAAGCTGACTAATACAGACTTCATCTGCTCAGGTCACTATTAGTTTTAATTGGGGAGTACCTTAAATATGGAGGACAAATATTTCAAAAAGATAAACAAAACAACATTGTAAGAATGCATAGAAAGCATAACAATTGTAAAGCTAATATGTCAATTTAAGTATGAGATAATGAGATTATCTGCAGAAATAATGAAAAAATAAAATCTAAAACATTACTGGTAAAAATCAGCAATCCTCCAAGTTGATCTATAGATTCAATGCAATCTGACCAAAATCTGAAGAAACTGTTAAATTTGTTTGGAAAAGCAAAGGACTAAGGAGAGTCAAAGCAATTCTGAAAAAGAATTCACCCTACATCCTACCTAACTTACTTTGTAAAGCTGAGTGAGACAACCAGTGTATCATTGGTGAAACAGACAATTACATCAATGAAACATAATATCCAGAAATAACCCACATACATGTAGTCAAAATTTTTTTAGTTTTTGCAGCACTAAGGATTGAACCTAGGGCCTTGTGCATGCTATGCAAGCACTACCTCTGGGGTAAATGATTTTTTTCCTCCTAGTACTAAGAATAATTGAACCTAGGCCTTTGCACTGAACTACATTTCCAGGCCATTCTTTATTTTTACACAGGGACTCATTAAGTTGCTCAGAATGGGCTGGAACTTATGATCCTCCTGCCTCAGCCTCCCAGAGTACTGGGATTACAAGGCATGTGCCACCACACCTGACTTCAAATGATTTTTGACAAGGCTCCAAATTCAATGGGTGAGGGAGCCCTTTCTTCAGTAAGCAGAGGCAGAACAACTCAATATCCATGTTGGAAAAAAAAGAACTTTTCCTACAATGTCACAGCATATACAAGGATAAATTTTACATGAATTATACACTAAGCAACTAAAAGCAAAGACAATCAAGGGAAGCTAGTATTTGTAATTTTGGAGAATGCAAAGATCTCTTGAAGACAGAAAAACTACTAACTATAAAAGAAACGCATGAATTAACTGAATGTTACTAGGATTAAAACCTTGGTGATTAAGAAAAAAAACACAAAAAGGGCTGGGGATGTCAGTCAATGGGAAAGCACTTGCATAGCATGTATGAACTTTGGATTCAATCCCTAGCACTACCAAAAGGAAAAAAAATGAAATAAAATCACCAAGAATGTAAATAGAAAACAAGTGGGAAAAAGTATATGCAACATATATGTTTGACAAAGGACTTGTACACAGAATAAAGAACTCCTGCATACCAATTTCAAACCTGGGCAAAATGTCAGAACAAATATACCACAAAAGATATCCAGAAGGCCGATAAGCATGTGGGAAAGTGCTCACCATCATTAATAATTACAGAAATACAAAGCAAGACCATCATGAGACACAACTATATAGCACTACAATGGCTAAAATGAAAAAGACAGATGATCCTAAATACTGGAGCAGATTTAGTGTAAATACATTGTCAAACATTACTGGTAGAAGTGTTAAATGTGATAATCACTCTGCAAACCAGCAGTTTCTTCAAAAGTTAAATATACATCCTATGTCCCAGAAATTCAATTCCAAAGGAAAAGAAAATCTGTTCACAAGGCACAAACTGAAAGAACTCAAGTGCCCATCAATTGGTGAATGGATAAACAAAAGAATACTACTCAGCAATAAAAAGGTAAATCTCCTGATCTATGTAATATAAGAAAGCCTCCAAAATATATAGAATATAAAAGAATTATACAATGCTATTAATATAATATTCTAGAGTAGGCAAAAGTAAGCTATGGTGCTGGGGATTTAGCTCAGTGGTTCCACCGCCTGCCACACAAGTGCAAGGACCCGAGAACAATCCCCAAATCCCCAGTACCAAAAAAAAAAAAAAGTAAGCTATGGTGACAAAATCTGATGAGCAGATGCTTCATGAAGGAAGGAATTTAGTGGGAAAGAACACTACAACTTTCTGAAGTAATGTTTTGTGTCTTGAAATACATGCAAAATTGATTATTAAATTGTACACTTAAAAATCTAAGCATTTCCTTGCATGTAAATTATGATTTAAAAAATCTCAAGCTTGCATGGTGGCACACACCTGTAATTCCAGCACTCTGGGAGGTGGAGCCAAGGAGGATCTGAAGTTCAAGTCCTTCCAGGGCAACTTTGCAAGACCCTAACTCAAAATTAAAAATTAAAAATGGGGCTGGGGATGTAGCTCAGTGAGAAGGCCTTGTGTTCAATCCCCAGTACAGAAAGAAAAGAGAAAGAAATCAATCAATTCCACAAACTACGGATGTGACTCAGTAGTAGAGTACATGCTCAGCATTATGATCCCCTGGGTTCAACCTCCAGCACCCAAACAGTAAAAAATCACCAGTCCTTATTAACCAACTAAATAAAATTAGAATAAAAGAACAATGAGAAAGATCATTCAGGTAAGCTTTACATTAACCAAAATAGGTAGAAAAAGGAGGTCATGTTTCAGAAGAGTTCAGTAGTTATATAAGAGGTGATCAAATTGGGCCAGGGATTTAGCTCAGTGGTTCCGCTGCCTGCCTCGCAAGCGCAAGAACCCAAGTTCGATCCCTGGTTAAAAAAAAAAAAGTGGTGATCAAATTATATGGTAAATATTTAAGTTTTAAAAAATTTATGACAGTAAATCACACATTGCTACTGATCCCCCCTCAAAATCCTCCCACTCACTGAACACTCTTCTTCAACTCCTGCCATTTTCTGAAGCAGTTCTGGAAGTCCTTTTTCATGGGTGTGTCTTTACAAAATGTGATCAAAACTACAGTGAATGCTTCTGGCAAGTGCCATCCTACAGAAAAGCAGGCTCATAAAACATTATGATGTGTCCTTATCCACTCTGTTCGCCAGATCTGGCACCATCTAGCTTCTGGTTCTTCCCCAATGTCAAAATGACCATGAAAGGTAAATGTTTCGAAGAGATTAAGGAAATCAAAGTAGCCACATCAATGCAAATAAAACACTCATGAAAGAGTACTTCCAGAGATGACCAACATGTCTTTTATTGTAATAAATTTTTTAAAAATTTAAACATTTAGTACATTTCTATCATACTTTGTACATTAAGTGAAACATTAATCTAATTACAGATGGTGTTTGGCTTACAATAAGGTTATGACTTGACAAACCTGCTGTGAGTGGAAAATATCCTATGTTAAAAATGCATTTAATACACCTATCCTACCACACACCATAGCTTAGCAGCACAGCCTAAAGTATAGGGTGTTTACTCTCAAGATCAAAGCTGCAGCTCCCTACTGCTACCCTGCATCACAAGACAGTCCTACTGCATATCCCTAACCCGAAGAAAGACAAAAATTCGAAGTACAGTTTCTACTGAATTTGTATCACTTTCACATCCTCATAGACTTGAAAAATCTTAAGTCAAATCATCATAAATCAGGCACTGTCTTATGTTACAGGTAGGAAAAATGACATGTAGAAGTCAAGCAAGAGATGTCAATGGTAGGTGAACAATTAAGGAAATTTTGAATATGGAATGAGAACAGGTTAAACACAGTATGAAAGCAACAAGAAAAAGGGAAAGGAGAGAAGTAGAAAGACTAGTATGGTGCCACAGAAAACAGGAAGGAGTATTAATAGTAAAACATCACCATCTTTGAAGCAAAATCAAAACACGATGCTTTTAAAGATCCAATGACATAAAGATACTCATTACATTGTATCCCAAAATTCAGCTAGACATGGTGGCATGCGTCTGTAATCCCACCACTTGGGAGGCTTTGGCAGGGGGATTGCAAGTTCAAGGCTAGCTTGGGATACATGGAGACTGTGTCTCAAAAAACAAAAAAACCACCCAATACAAAACCAACAAAAAATCTCCAACAAAACCAATTCCCCATTTGGTCAGATTAAAGGTACAAATTGATACTTCTGTTTACCTTTTTAAAAAAGAGCATATTTCTCAAAATATGTATTAGTGGAGAACAAGAACCATAGGTCCATTTAAATAATGTAAGCTTTTATTTGTTCTGAGAGTTTAAGTAGGTCTTCAGAAACTTTCTAGTATAAATCCAATTTCTCCAAGGTGTGCATGGTCTTGAGATCACTATTTTTTCTTGCCACATTCTCAGTAGTCAGGTACAGTGGTGCATGACTATAATCCCAGCACTCAGGAGGCTGAGGCAGGAGAATCTGAAGTCCACACAGCTAGCCTGAACTACATAGCAAGTTCAAGGTCAGCTGGAGTACACAGTGAGATCCTGTTTAAAACAAAAAACAAAAAACCCCAAAAACCAGCAAAACCACAAAATACTTTCCTAGAAAGTAAATAAAATAGCAGACTCATGCATGCTTGTGTAGTATGCATGAGACCCAGGGTTGGATCTCCAGCACTGAAAAAAAAATAAATCATTCTCCCACAGTGGTCAGAATCCAAGCAGACAATCTCTAGTTGATGCTATCAAAGAAATAAATCTGGGGCTGGGGATTTAGCTTTTCGGCGCTGACACCTGCCTCACAAGCATAAGGTCCTGAGTTTGATCCCTGGTACCAAAACAAACAAACAAACAAACAAACAAATAAATAAATCTGCTTAGAAGTCCAGAATGACGTAACACTTTAGGGAAACACTGTAATATGATATTTACTTTACTATGTTTATCAATGTCCCGTGTAATTATATTTTTATTGATAAAAGTTTGGCTGTTCCACAATCAAATGAAATCCTACAGCCCTAGTTCTTACTAGTACTTAAAGAGCTCATAAGCTGTCTTATAATGAAAAAGCTGGGACAGGACAGGTTCGTATACTCTTGATTTTTGGAGAATACTCTTATGTCATCCTGCATGGATCACACCCATGTTAACTATCACATTAGGGGACAAACAAAACCAGGTTGAGCCCAAACCATTCTACACACCGTTTCTGCTGCTGAAGAGTGCTGCTACAGGCAGATTCCTGTTGTGCCAGAGCTCCCTGAAGTGTGGACATGATCCGCCCCTGCCTTAAAGGTTGTACATTTTCTTTACTCAGCTCCCATTCATCTCCCTCCAGGGACATAGCTTCACTGTGAAGGAACAAAAAGAAATGTGATACCAACATGAATTTACAATAGTAGGCTGTCATCTGGTTTCCAAGTTTATGGTTGTTAGTGTTATCTAGTGAAGGGAGAAGTTGACAAGGGTTTAGTGGACAGTACCATAAAAATGAAATTTAACACAAGAAAAAAAACCAAAACAAGAAAGTGTTTTAAATTTGGCAAAGTAGATAAAAGGACAGCAGTTCCATGCCTACCATTGAATGCATCACCTAGTTTAATTTAAAATTAGAAAAATGTTGGTCAGATTAACACCCCATTTTTCTTTTTTGGGAGACAGGTTTTCGCTATGCAGTTGAGGCTGGTCTTAAACTCACTATGTAGCTCAGGTTGGCCTCAAACTCATGGTGATCTTCCTGCCTCAGCCTCCCAAGTGCTGGGATTACAGACATGCACCACCACACCCAGTTTAACACTCCATATTTAACTGATGACTTCAAACTGAAGTTTGGCTGGATGTGATGGCTCACACCTATAATCCCAGTCACTCATCAGACTGAGGCAGGGGGATGGCAAGTTCGTGGCTGAGCAATTTAACAAGCCCTCGTCTCAAAATAAAATTTTAAAAAGGCCAAGGCATGTAGTTCAGTGGTAGAGCACTTGCCTAGTGTGCACAAGGCGACACAAAACACCTGAAGTTTGTATATACAGGCAGCCCAGACAAAAACACAGATAACTATGCAAAACCAGCTCTCCAAAGCCTCTACTAAGGGACTCCCGAAAACTTTTTGGAGGCAATCACAATTCAGGAGGATGTAACTGTACTCTGTACTTCAGAGCTCTGCAATGGTCAGACAGAAGCCTACTTCTAACATGTTATCTCTGGATGTTAAAAAAAAAAAAAAAAAAATAGGCACTCATTTTCAAATTAGAGTGAAAATTAGTGGGACATCAATCTAGACGATAGCTGAAAACTCTTCAAGAAAGTAAGTAGCAGGGCCCTGGTGGTGCAGATTTATAATCCTACCACTCTGTGGAGACTGAAGCAAGATTCTGAGTTCAAGACCAGCCTGGGCTACATAACAAGATCCTGTCTCAAAAAAAAAAAGAAAAAAGTAATGAAGTAACCAACAGTTTAGTTTAGAACCACTCATATCTTTTAAACCCTATTGTGTGTGTGCTCGCTTCGGCAACACATATACTAAAACCCTATTGTGTGAACCTTGTAAATGTCAGGGCCATGTCATTTCTTTTTGTATCCCTGGACTACATGATAACTGTACTCATAAGCACTGAGTGAATGTTGAATTCATCTGAATATCTTCTGTTGCTTTGTGTTTTGAGGCAGTCTCTCTGAATTTCCCAGGCTGGTCCCAAACTTTCAGTCCTCCTGCCTCAGCCTTCCCTGTCTTCTCTTGCTCTTCAAACAGTAAGTACACTAGCTCAATTAAATGTCCCAAACCAGGGTGGGATGGCTTCCTACTTCTCCCAGGTTTCACTCATTTCAAATAAATAGCAATTCCATTCTTCAAGCCAAAAATCTTACCACCAACTTTAATGCCCCTCTCTTCCTTGTCAGTCTGTCAGTCAGTCAATCTTGTTGGCTCTACCTTCAAAATATAGCCAGAAATCAATCTTTCTCTTTTTTTCAGCCTCTCTCAAGCCACCCTTTTCTCTTGCTTGGATTATTTCAATAAGGTCGTAACTGATCTCCCTGTTTTATTCCATTTCTCCCTTTAGTTTATTCAACACAGCAGCTCAAGTGACAAATTCAAGTCAGACACCTTTACTCTGCTCAAAATCTTCCAATGATTTTCAATTACAATCAGAGTAAAAGCCAAGTCCTCCCAATGCCTGCATATTCACCTTTCAAATTAACGTCTTTCCACTCCACTACACAAGTCTTGGACATGCCTGGGGTAGGTTCCTCACCTCCTTCCTGTTCTGTGCACTACCCTCAGATTTATGTATACCAGCTCTCGAGTTTCCTGCAAGTCTTGACCCAAATAACACCTTCTCCGTTCAAACCTATTTAAAACTGGATCAACACCCTCCCAAGGCTCCCTGTTCTCCCTTCTTTAGTTCTTTTAGTACCAAACACCACTTAATTTTTGCCTTGTTTATTCTATCTCCCCCACCTTCATCCCACCCCAATACTTGCCCTTCAGGAGGACTAGGATTTTTTTTTTTGTACCGGGGATCGAACTCGGGTTCTTGCGCTTGCGCAGCAGGCGCCAAAACCACTGAGCTAAATCCCCGGCCCAGGACTGGGATTTTTGTTTGTTTATTGACTGCAGCCAGTGCTTAGTAGGTGATCAATAATCATTTGCTGCACAAATGAAAGAGTTCCCGACACGGTATTTACCTCGGCATTACGGATTCCATACTTCGTTCCAACTATATATATATATAATTTTTTAAAATAAGGAAAAGCAGCAAATGTTCAGAGAAGGGCTTTTTAGGCCTTTACCCTACTAGGGAAGTAAAACAAACCATAAGTTGAACACATATTTGGAAGCGGTTACTTTTAAAATATTTTCCCAGAACCCATGAAGGTAGCATTAATAGCAGCCTTTTTTTTTGATACTGGGGATCGAACTCAGGGCCTTGAGCTTGCAAGGCAGGCGCCGGAACCACGGAGCTAAATCCCCGGCAACAGCAGCCTTTTCCAAATAAGAGACCTGTCCAAGCTCAAACAGCTAGCGAACGGCTGCAAGCTCTTTGTATCCCTGGGCCCCAGCCTCCTCTGCTTTGGAGCTGGACGCAGGATTCTCACTTGCCCGGCTTCACCTACGCTGACCCCAGCAGGAAGGAGGCTTCGTCCTCCCCTCGTGGGCTCAGCGCAGAGCCTTTGCACCTGCTAGGCTCCTTGGATCTTGCAGACCCCGTTCCCAGCAGCTCTTCTTCCTCACCTACCTAAGAGCGACTCCTTCCTTCTTCGCCTCTGCCATCCTGCATTCCTTTTCCTCAGGGCTGCCGACAGTCTTAGCTTCCCTGCGCAACGTGCCCTCAAAGCCACCGAAGCAATCAGGGGGTGCTTCGAGACGAAAGCACCCACCAAACTCCCTCACAAACTGGCCACCTCACGCGCACATTGCGCGCCGCCGAGTTTCAAATTTAACGGTCCCCCGCGGCCGACGTGGCCACACCCTCCCTACGTGCGACTCTTGTCCGAGGCATTCTGGGATACGTAGTTTAGGTTTAAGGCCTTCTGGTCGTGATGCATAATGGGATTCGTAGTTCCGGGCGGGAGCAATCAGTGGCTACCCAGGTGCTGCGTGTTTAGACAGTAGGGAGTCTCCCTGTGTTCTGTGCATCCCAGCTCTAGGAGACGAGTCTCTGAACCAAGGGAGTGACACTTTCAGCACCAGAATTGCTTTGGTGTATTGAGCATAGGGACATGTCTGACTCATCTGGGGTACTGGCCCAGCCAGTTAAAACCCACCTGATAATCCAGGTTAACTTTTTCACCTCCTGCTCCTCAGCTTTAATCATATCTGCCAGGTCCTTTTTGCCACATAAAGTAATATTTTCACAGGTTCCATGGAGGAGCGCATGGACATCTTTGGGGACTATTAGTCTGCCTGTCACAGGATGACAAAGTATATTGGCATCTCCAAACTTATTTGACCCTAAAGAAACCTTTCCATGAGATGGGCACGGTGGCACATACCTGTAATCCCAGCTATTTAGGGGGTGGAAATAAGAGGATCACAAGTTGGAGGCCAGCCTGGGCAACTTAGTGAGATCTTGTCTCAAAGTAATGGGGATTGGGTATGTCCCTTAGTGTTAGGGCACTTACCTAGCATGTGTAAGGCCCTGGGTCTAATCCCCAGTACCAAAAAAGAAACCTTTGTGTGACCAGAGGAGAAATGAGGCCCTAATAGATCACAGAGGAGAAAGGCTGCACCCAGGGGTGATTGCATGTTGCACATTCTAGGGAAAACTTAAAACAGCTGAGGTTGAATTGTTTAGCAGACCATGTACTAATGGCTGTTGGAAAACAGATGAATCTTGTGTTACTTTGATTACTTGCGCCCATGTTTGGATGAATAAAAGCAAGGTGAGCTACAGGCTCAGGGCTCCTCTGCCTGCTAGAGGTGAGAGCTCTCTGGTTGCCTGCACGTTAAGCTGACTCCGTGATTCTTTGTCATTGGTCCTCATTCACCCCTGGGTCAGGAAAAACAGCATAGTGGGTCTAGGTCCGGTGGGGTCGGCGACAGGTGGCACCCCAGCGTGTGGGTCGGGACCAGGCTCACCTACATCTTGCCGTATATCATTTTTTAGACTAGATTTTGGGGTGTATTAAATATATTCCCCATCCAGGGCTTTTTTTTTTTTTTTTTTTTTTTTGGCTCTTTGTATTTTAATGGGAGACTTCCAGAGAAGAAAATTTATAAAGGAACAAGACTTACTGGTAGAATTTCAGGCATAGTGGTGACTAGTAGCCGTCTGGGACTATGGTAGTAAGTCCTTCGGTTTTATGCTTTTATTTTATTCTAAGCCATACTTACATACATTGATGGCTCTTAGATGGATTTAGTTGTCAGAAAGTCCAAGATCTCTTGCTTGGTCTTGCAGAGATGTGTGTGCTCCTTCTTGTGCAAGGGCTGATTTCCCCAATTTTGCCTTGCCTTCACAGATTGTACAAAATCCAGCCTTAGGCTAAACACTAAAAATGAAAACCTCTGAGTCTCCAGAGTTGTTTATTGTGCAGCAACAGAATGCAGAGGACTCTCTGGGGCAGGAGAAAGGTCAAAAGATACAGAACTGGGGAACTGAGGGGACCAGAAGTATACCACATCTGGGAAAGCAGCATCCCCATGCTGGCCTTCACCCCAGCAACAGATTAGCCAATCAGAACATAACCACATGATGGATTTAACAGTGATCAGGTGTCTTGAGGTGGAAAAACCAATGAAGAGGAGGTATAATAAGATAAACCAACTGTGTTGCCAAGAGGAAGGAAACAGAGGGGGGATGGTGCACTGGCCAGGCCTGGAGGCTGCTGGGGGCTGCCCAAGTGTCTCACAGAATCTGTTACTGACAAGGAGCTAGAGAACTCGCCAAGGAGTTGGGTTCCTCTCTCTTCATTTCAGCAGAAACCCCTTTTTGGACTTTACTTCTGCTTTTCTACAGAAGTACCCTACTTTTCATGATCTTCTTAAAACATTGGAAATAGCCTGACCTGGAATTTCCACTCTGATATACACAATAAACATACATGCTAAATGGGGAGATACCAGTTATCAACTTTTCTGGATCTGGCAGAAAAGAAACAAAAGGTCAAATGAGACCACAGGCTGAAAGCATAAGCAGTCCTATGGCAGAGCTGTTAAGAAACAAGAAGCATAGTTAAATAAGTTATGTAGCTAGTAGGAAATATAAAATGAGGCTGTTTTGCCCAGCAATATGCTGGCCAGTTTTGTGCTTCAGGCAAATGTGGAGGATCTTACAATTGCCAGTGTTCATGATGATGCTCATTTTACACACGAGGTAATCCAAACTCAAAGCAGCAAAGTGGCAGAGAAAATCACCCATGGAGGAAGAGCAGAGCAGGGTCTGGATGCTTCTTGCTTCTAACCCAATGCTCTGGGTGAGAAATCTCAACTGGTTCTACTGTTTCATAAATTTTAGCTTCTGGATGTGACATCTCGAGGGAAGAGTATATTCAAGGTTTCAGCACCAGGTGTTATAAGAGCTTCCACTCACTCCTGTGTATAAGGTATAACCCACATACTGGTAGGTGGGGCCCCTGCAGGCAATTTTTAATATTTCTTTTTTGGTGTGGTACTAGGGATTGAACTCAGGGCCTTCACACTGAGCTATATCCCCAGAACTTTTTTTATTTTTTAATTTAAAACAGGGTCTCACTAAGTTGTCCAGGCTGGGCTTGAAGTAATGATCTTCCTGTCTCAGCTTCCCAGAGTGCTGGGATGACAGGCATGTGCTACCAGACCCGACTTTAGCAGACAATTTTGTTTGCCTTTGAGAAAGAGGGATGGTGAAAGTAGGGAGGTCTGTGCAGGTGTTTGGGGGAACTAGAATATGAGGGCCCCATAATCTCCAAGGACAGTGACTCTCTTTGACCTAGTCTCAAGGACTGACGGCTTTGTGGAGAGAGGGCTAAGGACAGCAGTGACAGGAGCAGGTTCTGTGGAATGTGGCTTCCAGGAGCACTGCTCTGGTGCCCAGATGCTGAGGACACACCCCCATGCATGCTCCTGAAGGACTGGGCATTCTGAGAGCAGCAGCAGGCCACCACTGGAGGAGGACATCAGCACCCCTGTGAAGGGAAGGACACAGGGAGATGTCCCCCAATGTCGTGGAGGCCATCAACTAGGGCCCTGGAGCAGGAAAGATGTTGGCTGGTGAGTGTGGGGCTGCACAGGAGCTCTGGAAAACACCTGGGCTCCTGAAGGAGGGTGACAAAGGGGATCTCACCAGGGTGGTGCATACCTGTAATCCTAGCACTCTGGAAGGCTGAGGCAAGAGGATTGCAAGTTTCAGCCTAGCCTGAGAAACTTAAGATCCTGTCTCAAATAATAAAAAAGGGCTGGGGTTGTAGCTCACTGAGAAAGCCCTGGGTTCAATCCCTGGTGTTGGCAAAGAAAAAGACAGGGGCGTGCAGAGGGGTCTCATTCAGGGCCACATGTGTAGTTTTACAAATTATACTGTGCCCAAGAGTGCCCAACCAGAGACACTTCTCTGCTTTGAGCACTCAGGGGCAGCATCTCTAAAAGTTCATCTGCCCAGAGGGGCCTCATTTTTACTAGATCACATAGACATTGTGTAGCATCTGTGGCCCTGGGGTTGGGTGTCCAGTGGAATTTTCATGACTGGTGTTTACATGACTCCATGGCTTTGAGGCCTAAGGAAAGCAGTTCTCTACTACTCAAGTCTGTGCTTGAGGAGCTGATGATCCTATGGTAGCTGAACAGTAGTGGCGATGGTCCCTGGCACAGCCAAGACAGGAGGCTGGAGCGCCTAGGGGTGGATATGATCAGGTTTCCACTGCATTTCTGCTGGGCAGGTCTCCTCACTCCTTGCTCCAACATTCTGCAGAGTTTACCTTGGATCTTCGGAGGGCCCAGGTATGGGAAGTGCTCCTGTAGATCCAGGGTGGGAGGGGGCCAGATGGTTGGAAACAACTCAGCTAAACTAGAGAGCAGATGATCCAGAGAAGAATTAAGTGAGGTGATAAAGCTGTTTGGCCCCTATTCCCACTTCCGGTTTCACGAAACAGGGTCTCCTATGTAGTTCAGACAGGTCTTGTATTCACTGTTTAGCCTAGGCTGGCCTCAAACTGACCATGATCCTCAACTTCCCAAGGGCTGGGGTTATAGGCCTATGCCCCCCAGCTGGCTAAGGTGGCCGTTTTCTTCTTTTTTTTAGCTTTGCCTGGAAATGTAGGTCTCAGAATAGGCCAACGTTCTTCCTTTCATAAAACAACTTTGGGAGGCCAAGGACCATTGAAAAAGCTGAACTGGGGACACTTTGACAGCAATTTAGGAGGAACACTTCATGTTTCAGAATCCCAGACGCAGCCCTGGGCTGAGCTAGGACAGAACTACATAGGCTTCCTCTCTCCACTTTGGAGGTCTCTGGTCATGCTGCCTCTGGGGATTTTCCATACCTTTCTTCCAACACGGGCTCCTAAGGCAGAGCTGGGGGGAAAGAACTCAGAGACAGGCAGAGTTAGAAAAACGTCATCTTCTAATGGCAAAGACAAAAGTTAGGTGGCAGGGCTCTCTGGATCAACCTGGGCCTGTTTCTGATTTTCTACCCAGCCCCGCTGGAAGGAGTTACCGAAGGTGGTGGGCATTTCAAGAGGGGAGATGTGAACTAATGCTCTCCCCACCACTGCGTTTCTAGCAGGGGAGCTGTGGGATTGCCAGGCTGGTTTCTGCCAGTGGTGAGATATGTGCCTATAGCAGACGACCTATGAGAATCTTGTACTGTCTGCTTGACCTGGCTGAATTTCTACCTCACCCTACTCTTGTTTATCTCTAAGGACAGAATGCCAGTATGTCAGAGGCTCCTCTCCCAGTGGGCTAGCCAAAATGGGTTGATCTGCAATGCCTGCTACAGTGACCACCAGACAAGCTCGATCTTCACTATTATTTATTTGTATGCTAAA